CTCTATGAAATCAACTTGAATTCTTTCAAATCGTCTCGTCATATCTGAAAATATGCCATTCTAGTCAAACCTTGGTAAACTAGCCAGTGTCTCCAATTATGTCCTGTTATTAAAAAAAAAAAAAACTCTATTGAACTTATGCAAATAACTATATTGACATCAATTAAAAATACTTACAAATAGTTTCCAGATTCTGGAGAAATCTGGTAGAGAGAGAGATAAATGTTTCAATTTTGTTTAATTGTAAAAAGCTACAGATGGCTTAAGAGAAAAAAAGGTTTTCTTGACTCTGGAAAACAAAGCATAAAAAGAATTCACAATGTTTCACACCAAAAAAGTCAAGAAAAAAAAATTCAGTCCGGTCCCATGTAATTAACCCTTGTTCTGCTTGAAGTTGGGTTAGCAATCTTCAGGAAGCCATCACCTTTTTTTGTCAGAGTTCTGGAAGTTTTTGCATAGTTCAATGGAATGATACTCAAAGTTATCAGAAATCTGTATCCAAGAGTACTTGTCAAGGTATTTTTTATAAATTTCCTTGAAGAAGAAGAAAGCTTTTGACTACAGTAAATCAAAACTGCTTTCTGAGAAGAGTCAAAGTAAAACAATAATTGTCTGTGGATGAAAAAAAGGCTTAAAATACCCATGGTTAAAGACACAATTGACAAGAAAATTTGGTTATTTTTGTGACACTCAGCAGTTTAATATAGTAATCATAATTATTACTGACAACATATACCAAGACATATCAGAATTTTAGTAATCCCATACCATTTGGGAACATATATTAATAACACATTTTTATAACTACCACTCAAATAAATTTAAATACAATTTCTTATTTGGTCATGGTTTCCATATTATTTTTGCATACCAAATAAGCCTAATATGTTGCTCTTGGACTTCCAGGAGATTTTCATGGAAAATACTTACTTTTTTTTTTTTTTTTTTAAGATGGGGTTTCACTCTTACCCAGGCTGGAGTGCACTGGCGTGATCTCAGCTCACCGCAACCTCCGCCTTCTGGGTTCAGGCAATTCTCCTGCCTCAGCCTCCTGAGTAGCTGGGATTACAGGTGCTTGCCACCATGCCCACCTAATTTTTTGTATTTTTAGTAGAGACGCGGTTTCACCATGTTGACCAGGATGGTCTCAATCTCATGACCTCATGATCCACCCACCTCTGCCTCCCAAAGTGCTGGGATTACAAGTGTGAGCCACTGCACCTGGCCTGGGAATACTTACTTTTATACTTACTTTTATAATTTGAAATTAGATTTTTGGAAGTTTTCCAAATATCAACAGTTTAAAACACTTGATAAAAACAGGACAGATAATAAACCACTGTAAAGTAATAGTCATTCATTAGTGATGATTATCCCAAGTGATAATGTAAAGATTTGGAAAACCAAAAACTTTTACTCCTTGATAGAAAGGAGGCTCTGTTTCCCAAACAATCAAAAGACCTAGTGAAGACAGCATGAAGCAAACAAAATCCATCTTTCCAGGGATTTTTTGTGCAGTTTACTTACAAGGTAAACCAAAATGATTTACTGTCTCTTATTGGACCACTGAATCTTTTTTTTTAAACAAAGGTACCCCCCACGAAGTGGCTCATCAAAATCAATAAGGCTTGATCAAGAGTATGACTTAACCATAAAATCTTGTTTAAAAGAGAAAACCAAATTCTACCTTTATAACAGTGTATTAATGCTAAAGCTAGTTTTAATAAAATATTATAAATCCGTTCAATCTCAGTTTTGATCACACAAAATAAAATTTTCATAAACATTTTAGAACCTCTTGCAATTTTTCTATCTTCTTTTTTGCCCAACTATCCATTCAGTTTTATGACCTTAAAATGCCTAACAGAGACAGTACAAACCTGCCTAATTAGACCCAGGCAAAAAAATGTCTAAATTAAATTCTGAAGATGTTTCTGTTTTATTTACTTTTCTTTCATTTTCATATTTATTTTTAGAGACAGGGTCTCACTTTGTTACCCAGGCTTGAGTGTAGTGGTGCAATCATAACACTGCATCCTCCAACTCCTGGATGTAGCTGAGACTACAAGCATGTACCAACACATCCAGCTAATTTTTTTATTTTTATTTTTTTGTAGAGATTGGAGTTTTGCTATGTTGTCCAGGTTGGTCTCAAACTCCTGGCCTCAAGTGATCCTCCTGCCTCAGCCACCCAAAGTGCTGGGATTACAAATGTCTGGCCCTTCTATTTTATTGCAACAACAACTTAAAAACTATCCTTATGACAAGGCACAGTAGCTCAGGCCTGTAATTTCAGCACTTTGGGAGGCTGAAGTAGGTGGATCACTTGAGGCCAGGAATTCAAAACCAACCTGGCCAACATGGTGAAACCCCATCTCTGTCAAAATACAAAAAAAAAAAAAAAAAGGGCCAGGAGTTATGGCATGTGCCTGTAATCCCAGCTACTTGGGAGGCTGAGGAATGAGAATCACTTGAACCTTGAAGGCAAAGGTTGCAGTGAGCTGAGATCACACCACTGCACTCCATTGTAGGTGACAGAGTGAGATTGTCTCAAAAAAGACAAAAAGAAGATAAACTTTGCTTTTTTAGAGACTGAGTCTCACTCTGGCACCGAGGCTGCAGTGCATGGCATGATCACAGCTCACTGCAGCCTCAACTGCCCTGGCTCAAGAAATCCTCCCAGTTCAGCCCCCTGAGGCTTGTATTTGTGGCATAGGCCACAACACCTGGCTAATTTTTGTATTTTTGCAGAGACAGGATGTCACTTTGTTTCCCAGGCTGGTCTTGAACTCCTGGGCCCAAGTGATCTTCCTGCCTCAGCCTCCCAAGGTGCTGGGATTAACAGGTGATCGGACCATTGAATCTTTTTTTTTTTAAACAAAGGTAACCCCCCCCCAGATGGCTCACCAAAATCAATAAGGCTTAATCAAAATTATGACTTAACCAAGGACACATGAGGCATCTCCAAAGAGGTGCACAGCAGTTCTCACTAGATCCAGAACCACCTCAAAGACAGCTCAAAGAAGGGAAAGTTTTGCTAGCCACAAATGGGGTACAACTCACATCTGCCAGCCATATATTACAGGGTCTCAGCCTTTCAGCTGACCGTCTACTCACAAAAGCCTAAGAGCCCCATGTACCGCCTCAGACAGAAGAAGACAGAAAACCAAAAGCTGCCTATGGAGGAGGAAAGGATCAGTGACACGTGGGTACATCACAGAGTCAAAAGTCACACAAATATCAAACCAAAAGGGACTGGTTTCCTGACTGCCCCTGCACCCAGGCTGTGGCAGTGAAAGTATGGAATTTTAACTACAAGACTGCAAGGTGGAGTGGCTGTCACTGCAGACTCCACAGGGGACCCAGGGCAGGCAATTGGAGCATACGAAGGATTTTAGCTTCGTTTCAGGTCAGACATTTGCTCTTTAATCTTGTCAAGAGGATTTCTAAGGCAAGCCATGACACTATTATGTGCCTTTTAATTTAATCTTCCCATGAATATAAATAAGACAGTTGTTTAGAATAAGAAATATCTAACCTGTTTTTTGTAACTGAGAGGACTTTCTAACTTCAAGAATCCATCTTTTGGCCTCTAATGACTAGAATTTCCAATAATGTACTTATTCTAATGGCAACTCCATCCCACAGCCTCCTCATGGAAAGCCCCAGATGTGAGTAAGTTATTACCATTTAAGAAAGACTAGTTTCCTGCAGAGGGTGTATAATAGGCAATTCCAAAGATCCCTCCAGTAAAATTCACTCCCTGATATAGGCTTAGGTAGCAAGATACTTTTGTTTTTTAATTTTAACTCACAGTATTTATTGGTTGAAGGAATGAAATAAAAATTAATTCATTAGTTCCTATTGCTTGTCTATTGTTTTTCTTTCTTTTTTAAAATTTAATTTAATTTAATTTAGTTGTAAATTCCAGGATGCATGTGCAGGACATGCAGGTTTGTTACATAGGTAAACATGTGCCCTGGTGATTTGCTGCACCTATCAACCCATCACCAGGTATTAAGCCCCACACGCATTAGCTATTTATCCTGATACTCTCCCTCCTCACTACAGACAGGCCCTAGTGTGTGTTGTTCCCCTCCCTGTGTCCATGTGTTCTCATTGGTTAGCTCTCACTTATAAATGAGAACATGTGGTATTTGGTTTTCTGTTCCTGTGTTAGTTTGCTGAGGATAATGGCTTTGGCTCCATTCATGTCCCTGCAAAGCGAGAGACTCTTGTTTCCCCACATGGTTAGAGATGTTATTTGCACACATGGTGCCTCTGGTGAGCCACACACTTCTGAGGGACACCCATCACAGACCCCTTAACCCATGACATGGGGCAGCTCTCCTAGAATGGGCCTTTCCCAGGGTTAACCAGGCAACAAGGGCCAGACCATAAAAATTCCTTCTAGATGGGACTTCTTATTAAGACAAACTTCCCCAACAGCTGGACACATTCAGAACAAAAAGTATGGTGCTTAAAACCTCATGTCTCAGGTTCCCAGGCATCTTCAGACTGAACATCTGATGTGACCCAAAAATCACACCCCAGATGGCGGAAATGAGAGACAGCGCTCCCACATGTCACAAGCCAAGCTCTCCAGAGCATAAACAAGATGAGACGGGGCCTCATCCAGCTTCTATTTTGTTTTTTGTTGTTGTTTTGAGATGGAGTCTCTCACTTTGTCACCCAGGCTGGAGTGTAGTGGTGTGATCTTGGCTCACTGCAACCTCTGCCTCCTGGGTTCAAGCAATTCTCCTGCCTCAGTCTCCCAAGTAGCTGGGATTACAGGCGCCTGCCACCACACCTGGCTAATTTTTGTACTTTTAGTAGAGATGGGGTTTTACTATGTTGGCCAGGCTGGTCTTGAACTCCTTACCTCAAGTGATCTGCACACCTCAGCCTCCCAAAGTGCTGGGATTACAGGTGTGAGCCACCTCACCCAGCTTGGCTTCTATTTTGAGGACCCACAGAAATGTTGGAACACCCATCTGATCATAGCCACAGACTGGTGCTCCATAGAGTCAGCCTGAACCATGGGCTGGCAGGATCTTCGGCCCCAGTTCTACCCTGCAGGGCCCCTCTTCAAAAGCAGGAAGTCAGAGTTCACCTAAGTTGAACAGAGCCCAACTGTAAAACCTGAGTGCTTTGGCTGCAGAGGTACTGTGGACACATACATTTATATTTTGCTGTGAGAATCTCTGGAGGAAGGGGTTATCTGAGTTTGAGGGTTTGATGTGGGTGGGTATGAAACTTCATACCCAGGCAGGTGACTGTTTTACCTTCATCCACGTATGTATTCTAGAGTTTTGTGCTGCCATGTTTTATTTGCTCAAAGGACCCAAAGAACAGTCCTAACCTGGCTATTGGAAGCATAACCCAGCTCGTGAGAGCAAGTGTGGCTTAACCTCAAAACTTCTTGACCCAGATGGAGGGTATTTGTGTTTGGAATTTCCACAGAAGAAATCGCCAGCATGCTGGAGACATCCTTTGGTTTTCCACTGTCAAAAGACCTCCATCAGGAAATAGCCCAGTGCCTTAAAAGTTTCAGTCAGTGTGAAGCTGACAGGGAAGTGGTAGGTTTCCAGGAATTATTCAGTTCTTTATTTGAAACTCAGGAAAAAGAATTTGTAACACAAGTGATGAATTTCTTTGAAGCAGTTTACATTTATATTGCTAACATAGAACACTTGGTAATAGCTTCATTCTGCGTGAAGCATTGTCACAATCTAACTACACTTCGCCTGTGTATGGAGAGTACTTTTCCCAATGACTCAGGATATGTTTCAGAACACAATGAGAAGCTCATGTATTGACGGGAGCTTTGCTCAATGTTCAGTAAGAACAAGAATTTCCAGATGTTAGACATGGAGAACACCAGCTTTGATGACGCCTTCCTGGCCATTCTTTGCAAAGCGCTGGCTCAGCCTGTTTGTAAACTCCAAAAACTCATGCATACTTTTATGTCTAACTTGGGACATTATTTAGGGCTGTTCTTCACAACCCTCATCTGAAAATTCTGAGCCTGTGTGGCACTAGCCTCCGCCATACCGAAGTGAAGTACCTGTGTGAGACGCTGAAACACCCAATGTGCAAGACAGAAGAGCTGATACTGGGGAAGTGTGACCTCTCCCATGAAGCTTGTGAAGACATTGCCTCTGTTCTGGCCTGCAACAACAAGCTGAAACTTCTCTCCTTGGTAGAAAATCCCTTGAGGAATGAAGGCATGGCATTTCTGTGTGAAGCTCTGAAGCACCCGAACTGTGCCCTCAAGAAGCTGATGTTGATGTACTGCTGTCTCACCTGTGTCTCCTTTGAGGCCATTTCCCAAGGACTTGAGTGCAGTAATTCCCTGTCCCTCCTCAATCTGGGGTCCAATCATCTGGAAGACAGGGCAGTGGTGTTGCTGTGTGAAGCGCTGAAGCATCCGGACCATAGCATACAGGAGCTGTGGTTGATGGCTTGTTTCCTTACTTCCGATTACTGTAAGGACATTACTGATGTTCTCATCAGCAATGAAAAACTGAAGATCCTGAAACTTGGGCATAATGAAATAGGAGATACTGGTGTGAGACAGTTAGGTGAAGCTTTGAAGCATCCTAACTATAAATTAGAGTGTCTTGGGCTGCAAACATATTGGATCACCCATGCCTGCTGTGAAGACCTCGCCGTGGCACTGGTCACCAGCAAAACGCTGAGGAGCCTGAACCTTGACTAAATTACCTTGGACCCTGAGGGAGTGGTGTTGCTGTGTGGGGCTTTGAGCCACCCGGACTGTGCCCTGCAGATGCTGGGGCTGTAGAAATCTGCCTTTGATGAAGAATCTTAGAAGATGCTGATGGCTCTGGAAGAAAAATGTCCCCACCTGAGCATTTCACATGAACCTTGGATTGAGGAGGAATACAGCATCAGGGGTATGATCCCCTGATGGGGAGCACCCTGAAGTAGTCTTCTCACAAAGGCTTTCCTTGATCATAATGGGCACTTCTCCTCCTGGCACCTCTGTCCTGTAACTGCATGTCACAGTAGCAGGGCTGTGATTTCAGGGCTACTCCCTGACAGTGTTCTAGCAATATGATCATGGAGTGTGATTCAGTAGGTATATGCTGATTGTCTTGGCCTAGGTCCTATATTCCCTTATCTTTAGAAATCCCATCCTACTTTGTGACACTTATAAAAAACAAGCATGTTAAATGAGTGCTAAATGCTCTGGAAAGCATGGCTTTATTTTCTTAGAGGATGTCCTGGTGTGTAGGAACATGGATTTGCAGGCCCCACAATCCTGGTACTTCTGACGTAGAAGTGATGCTAGAATGTGTCTATAGATTGTATTTCGAGTACCCAAACTTTCTAGTTTGTCCAGATTTAGATTTGATCAATTCTCTTGTCCAATAAAAAAGCATTTTCAAAAAAAAAAGAAAGAAGCAGCTTAGAGTCAGAGGAATGTCTGGAGCAGACACAGTGCAGAGCATGATTTAAGGGAAAACAGTTATACCAGGACAAGAATCCATGTCCCAGGCGACAGTGTTCAGTGTCGTAAAGACACCCACTGTATGGCAGGCTTGGGGCAAGAGCCACTCCTCCTGATAAAGGAGTTGTAGGACCTTGCTCCAGTTCTTGTGGAGGGCTGCCCTCAGCCCAACAATCACACCTTGGTGACTGTGAACTTTATCAGCTCTTGTTACAGTGCTGCTTGAAAAGCATTCCCCTGAGGAAGATCCAAGATGGCCCTTTAGGAACAGCTCAGGATTGCAGATCCCAGTGAAAGTGCAGAGGGTGAGTGGACACTGCATTTGCAGATCGATCTCTATTGCCCACAGACCAGGAGATTCCCAGGCAGAGGAGCCCCATGGGTCACCAGCGTGGCTGTTTTGGCCAGCGTGACTGTTTCGGCCGGCGTGGTGGTTTTGCTGGCGCCCCAGTGCGGTGGTTCTCCGTACAAAATACTCTGGTCTGGTTGCCCTTTTAAGCTGGCAATTGGAGCTCCAAGAAGGCAGATTCACCCATTCATATGATTAAACTGGAGTCCGAAACAGGAAGCCAGGCCAGGAGATTCCTGGGCAGCGCTGCTGTTTCAGCCAGCGCATTGGGTTGCCGCACAGGAAATCACACAGATCCCGGTGCCCTTTCAGCAGGCAACTGGAACACTTGGGAGAGAGTCAACTGTTCAACTTAAAAAAAAAAAAAAAAGCTCTGAGGCAGGGAGCCAGGTGAACAAGCTCAGCGGGTCCCCCACAAAAACAAACCAAAAAAAAACCCAGCAATTGGAAATGCTCGGGATTGAGAGTTTCATGGCAAGCACAGCTGAACCTGGGATGATCCAGCTCTGTGGGGGAGCGGCGTCCACCATTACTGAGGCAATCCACCCCTATGGAGGTAGTCCGCCATTGCTGAGGCAGCCTGCCATTGCTGAGGCAACCCACCATTACAGAGAGAGTCCGCCATTACAAAAGCAGGCCACCATTGCTGAGGCAGTTCTAACCACACCCATATGAACAGGACTGCAAGGAAGTTCACAGGGCAGAAGAGCAGAGCCCACAGCAGCTCAGCAAACCCTCTGCAGGCAGACAGTGATTAGGCTACCTCCTTGCTGGGCAGGGCAGCCCTGAAAAAAAAAAGGCAGCAGCACAACAGATACTCATAAATAAGGCCCTAAGGCCCCAGGTAAAAGCACCTGGGGAAAAAAAGGGGTTTATGACTTCTGCTGCAGCAGACTTAAACGTACATGCCTAGCAGCTCTGAATGAACAATGGAGCTCACAGCTCAGCACTTAAGCTCCTATAAAGAACAGACTGTCTCCTCAAGCAGCTCTCTGACCCCTGCATATCCAAAGAGTCACCTCACAAAGGACTGATCAGACTGACATTTGGTGGGCATCATTCTGGGACAAAGATAACAGAAGAAGAAACTGGTAGCAACCCTTACTGTTCTGCAGCTGCTGCAGGTGATCCCCAGGCAAGCAGGGCCTGGAGTGGACCTCAGCAGTCCTAAAGCAGAGGGGTCAGACAGTTAGAAGGAAAACTAAGAAACAGAAATAACTCATCATCAACAATCTGGGCATCCACTCAGAGACCCAATCTGAAAATCAGCAACTACACAGACGACAGGAGGATAAATCCACAAAAAAAACCAGCAAAGAAACAAATGCAAAAAGGAGGAAAACACCCGAAACCAGAACACCTCTCCTCCTACAAGGGATCACAACTCCTCACCAGCAAGGGAACAAAGCTGGATGGAGAATGAGTGTGATGAAATGACAGAATCAGACTTCAGAAGGTGGGTAATGAGAAACTTCCATGAGCTAAAATAACATGTTCTAACTCAATGCAAAGAAACTAAGAACCTTGAAAAAAGATTTGAGGAAATGATAACAAGATGGACAACTTAGAGAAGAATATGAGTGAATTGATGGAGCTGAAAAACACAACACGAGAACGTCGCGAAGCATGCACAAGTTTCAACAGCCGAATTGGCCAAGCAGAAAAAAGGATATCAGAGATCAAAGATCAACTCAATGAAATAAAATGAGAAGGCAAGATTAGAGAAAAAAAGTGCAAAAAGGAATGAACAAAGTCTCTAAGAAATGTGGGACTATGTGAAGAAACCTAATCTACGTTTGGTAGGTGTACCTGAATGTGATGAAGAGAATGAATCCAAGCTGGAAAATACTATTCAGGACATTATCCAGGAAAATTTCCCCAACCTAGCAAGAAAGGCCAATATTCAAGTCCAGGAAATACAGAGAACACCATAAAGATATTCCTCAAGAAGATCAACCCCAAGGCACATAATCGTCAGATTCACCAGGGTTGAAATGAAGAAGAAAATGCTAAGGGCAGCCAGAGAGAAAGGTCGGGTTACCCACAAAGGGAAGCCCATCAGACTCACAGCAGATCTCTTGGCAGAAATCCTACAAGCCAGTGGGGACCAATATTCAACATCCTTAAAGAAAAGAACTTTCAACCCAGAACTTCATATCCAGCCAAACTGAGCTTAAGAAGTGAAGGAAAAATAAAACCCTTTGTGAACAAGCAAATACTCAGAGATTTTTGTCACCACCAGGCCTGCTTTACAAGAGCTCCTGAAAGAGGCACTACACATAGAAAGGAACAACCAGTACCAGCCACTCCAAAAACATACTAAATAGTAAAGAGCATCAACAAAATGGAGAATCTGCATCAACTAATGGGCAAAACAGCCAGATAGCATCAAAATGGCAGCATCAAATTCACACATAACAATATTAACCCTAAATGTAAATGGGCTAAATGCACCAATCAAACGACACAGACTGACAAATTGGATAAAAAGCCAAAACCCATCAGTGTGCTGTATCCAGGAAACCCATCTCACATGCAAGGATACACAAAGGCTCAAAATAAAGGGATGAAGGAAGATTTACCAAGCAAATGGAGAGAAAAAAAAAAAAAAAAAAAGCAGGAATTGCAATCCTAGTTCTGATAAAATAGACTTTAAAGGAACAAAGATCAAAAGAGACAAAGAAGGCCATTACATAATGATAAAAGGATCAGTACAACAAGAAGAGCTAACGATCCTAAATATATATGGTCCCAATACAGGAGCACCCAGATACATAAGGCAAGTTCTTAATGACTTACAAAGAGACTTAGACTCCCACACAATAATAGTGGGAGACTTTAACACTCCACTGTCAATATTAGACAAATCAACCAGACAGAAAATTAACAAAGATATCCAGGGCTTGAACTCAGACCTGGAACAAGCAAACCTGATAGACATTTACAAAACTCTCCACCCCAAATTCACAGAATATACATTCTTCTCAGCACCACATCACACCTACTCTAAAATTGATTACATAATTGGAAGTAAATCACTCCTCAGCAAATGCAAAAAAATGGAAATCATAACAAACAGTCTCTCAGACCACAGTGCAATCAAGTTAGAACTCAGAATTCAGAAACTAACTCAGAACTGCACAGCTTCATGGAAACAGAACAACTGGCTCTTGAATGTCGACTGGATAAACAATGAAATAAAGGCAGAAATAAAGAAGTACTTCGAAACCAGCAAGAACGAAGACACAACATACCAGAATTTCTGGGACACATTTATAGCAGTCTCTAGAGGAAAATATATAGCAATAAGTGCCCACATGAGAAGAAAGGAGAGATCCAAAATTGACACCCTATCCTCAAAATGGAAAGAGCTAGAGGAGCAAGATAAGAAAAACTCAAAACCTAGCAGAAGACAAGATCAGAGCATAACTGAAGGAGATAGAGACACGAAAAACCCTTCAAAAAATCAATAAATCCAAGAGCTGGGTTTTTTTTAAAGATCAACAAAATAGACAGACCACTAGCCAGATTAATAAAAAAGAAAAGAGAGAATAACCAAATAGATGCAATAAAAAATGATAAAGGGAAAATTACCAAAGATCCCACAGAAATTCAAGCCATCATCAGAGATATTAAAAACAACTCTATGCACATAAACTAGTAAACCTGGAAGAAATGGATAAATTCCTGGACACTTGCGTCTTCCCAGGCCTAAGCCAGGAAGATGTCAAAACCATAAATAGACCAAAAACAAGATCTGAAGTTGAGGAAGCAATTAAGGGCCTACCACACAAAAAAAGTCCAGGTCCAGATGGGTTCACAGCCGAATTCTACCAGACACACAAAGAGGAACTGTTACCATTTCTTCTGAAACTATTCCAAATAATCCAAAAAGAGGAAATCCTTCCCAAATCATTTTATGAGACCAACATCATCCTGATACCAAAACCCAGCAGAGACACAACAAGAAAAGAAAACTTCAGGCCAATATCCATGATGAACATAGATGCAAAAATCTTCAATAAAATACTGGCAAGCCGATTGCAACAGCACATCAAAAAGCTAATCCACCATGATCAAGTAGGATTCATCCCGGGGATGCAAGGCTGGTTCAACATACGCACGTCTATAAATGTAATTCACCACATAAACAGAACCAAAAACAAAAACCACATGATTATCTCAATTGACACAGAGAAGGCATTTGACAAAATTCAACAGCCCTTTATGTTAAAAACCCTCAATAAACTCGGTATCGATGGAACGTATCTCAAAGTAATAAAAGCTATTATGACAAACCAACAGCCAATATCATACTGAATGGGCAAAAACTGGAAGCATTCCCTTTGAAATCTAGCAATAGACAAGGATACCCTCTTTCCCCACTCCTATTCAATATAGTACTGGAAGTTCTAGCCAGAGCAATCAGGCAAGAAAAAGGAATAAAGGGTATTCAAATAGGAAAGTAGGAAGTCAAATTGTCTCTATTTGCAGACGACATGATAGTATATCTAGAAGACCCCATCGCCTCAGCCCAAAATCTCCTGAAACTAATAAGCAACTTCAGCAAAGCCTCAGGATACAAAATCA